GCCCCGCCACCGCCGCCGCTGTCGCCGCTGCTGTGCGACGCTGCCGACGCCACGGCAGCTGCCACGCTGCTGCAACCGCCGCCGCTGCCGCCTGCCTTGGACGCCGCCCTGAGCTCCACGTGTAGCAGGTCCAAGGCTTCGAGGCTCGGCGGCAGGTGCGCCAGGTCCAGCGGCAGCACGCAGGGCGCGGCACACCACGCCGCCTCGTACACGTGCAGCGTCAGCGACTCCAGGCCCGTGAACCGCGGCAGCTGCTCGAGCGCGCTGTCCCCAAAGTCCCCGCGCGCCAGGCCGAGGCGCAGCTTCCGCAGCCGCGGCCAGGCCGCGGCGGCGGCGCGCAGCGCGGATGGCGTCACTGGGCAGGATACGGACGCCTGCTGCGCGGGCAGGGCGGTCTGGAACGGCGGCCGCTTGTCGAACACCAGGGTCTCCAGGTTGTGGAGGGATGACAGCGCCGACAGGTCCCAGAGGGATGGGGCCGCGTGGGGGTCCTGGTACCACATTGATATCTTGAGGGACCTGCAGGGTCGGGGGGCGGCGAGGAGGTCGGGAGCAGGGGCACGCGCAGAGTGGGGATGGAGGGGTGGGGTCGGGTAAAGGTTAAAAAGGGGGATGGAGGGGCAGGGTAGAGCGGCCTGTTTGTGAGTATTGGGTGTGTTGGGGATGACAGGTCACATTACGGGTTGCAAGGGGCAATCAGGTTGACTCTGATGATAAGAAGGAAAGGCCGGCCAACACATCCTTCACGGCCCTGCAGCTGCTCAGGCATCTAGCTGCACCGCGCGACAAGCTGTCGGCCGCCATGCGGCCTCAGGGGGCACGAGGGGCCTGGCCTGCACGCTGGCCAGCGCAGCAACGCAGGCTGGAGGTGCTAGCATTGAGCTGCAATCCGCCACTGCGCTTTTGAAGTGCTGCCTCATACCTGAGCAAGCCAAAGTCACACCAACAGGGCCGCACCTGAGGCTCGTGCAGGAGCTCAGCAGGCGGAGGTAGCCTGGGCCCCCAAGCTTCCCGTACGACCAGGTCAGCCCCGCCAGCCGCGCCCGCAGCCTCGGCCCCAGCGCAAGCAGCGTCCTCTCCACGCTCGTGCCACAGCAGTTGAAGCGCAGCCGCAGGTCGGCCACGTGCGCCAGCGCGGCCCACGCCGCGCCGCCGAGCTGCGGGGCGTCGTCGGGCGCGCCTGCGAGCCTGTCGAGATGCGCGCCGGCGGCGGCGCCGGCGCCGGCAGCGGCGCAACGGGGGCGCAGGGAGGCCCCCATGACTGGCGCGCTCGCCATGCTCCTCAGCGGTGCCCGCCCAGATGCCGTCGCTGCGGCGGCGGCAACGGCGCCGCCCACCGGCAACATCTGCGGCTGGCCCGGCTGGGCCGGCTGGGGCGCCGCCTCCCCATAGCCGGCCGGCGCTGGGGGCGCAACGGCAGCGGGGTTGGCCCCGGGAGCTTGCGGCGCGGCGGTGCTCGCCAGCAGCCCCGTCGGCAGGAGCAGCTCCGCCCCGCTCAACTTAAGACTCTGGAGGAGGGGCAGCCCGGACAGCAGCTGCAGCGCAGCCCCCTGAAAAGTGCAGCAAAAAGGAGGTTCATGAACCGCAACGCAACGCAACGTTGCCGTGCACCATGCAGTCGCCACTTTGAAGCGCATGGTGGCGTGGAGGTCACAGTTTCAACATGCTTGGGAAGGGACAAGCACTCGCCACTGCTTTGCAGCATCGTGCAGCTCCCGGGGTCCTATGCCCCCCTCCGCTGACGCATACCTGTGAGATCTGGCTCTGCCACGGCACCCAACCCACCACCAGCCGCCTCAGCCGCGTCAGCCGCCGCAGCGCGAGCAGCCCCCCGTCCCCGACGCCGCACATGCGGCCCTGCAGCTCCAGCTCTTCGAGGCCGCTCATGCCCGCGAGCGCCTCGAGCGCCGCGTCCCCGGCCAGCAGCGGCGCGACCTTGCTGCGCTGGACGAGCGTCAGCGCGCGGAGCGGCGCCAGCGCGGCGGCGAGCAGCCGCAGGTCGAGGCCCTCGGGGGCGCTGACGTTGATGAGCCGCAGCGCGGCCAGGCGCGCCCCGGGGCCGGCGAGGGCGGCGGCGGCGGCGGGGTTGAGCTCCAGGACGTCGCTGAAGCGCAGCTCGAGGGTGCTGCGGCGGCGACGGGGCGAGGGGGCCGCGTGTTTGGCACAGGTTTGGGCTGGGCGGATGTTTGGGTGGGAGCGTGTCAAACGGGGCTGTTGCTCTGTAGACACCGCCAGATACTTCTTGACTGGGGTGCCCGCAACACGTGCCATACACAGAGCCCTTATATCCTTCGCGATTCACAGGGCAGGTGAATTAATTACAACACCCTGGCAGAGGGACCCTCCCGGGTGCTTGCTAGCACCCCGCCCAGTCCGCGCACCCCAGGCTCTTGAACTCAGCCACGCCTTGCATCAAGGAGACCAGGAGTTCTGGCACAGCATCAGGGCCGATGTTCAACCGCAGCTCTGTCAGGCAAGGAGCCACTGCACGCAGGTGCGCCAACTTGCGGTCCGCGGCAGCCGGGGCGCTTCCTGGAATGGAGCACTCCACCACTGCCGCCGCCCCATGAACGGCCGCATGCCACGCCTTGGAAACCAAGCGAGACGTGCGCACTGTGCGGACGTCCAGGGCGTGGGATAAAACGTGCTGCGGGCGGGTGCATTGGCGGGTACCAAGCATCCCGGCTCGATGAGATCACCGCTGCGATGAGTGCAGGAGAAACGGGCCATCACCAAAGGCACAAATGAGTCCTCTATACAAGTCGCATGCATCATGCGGACCCTGGGCTTCCCTGCCGACCTGGAGAGCGTCCAGGGGCAGCGATGGCAGGTCCCCGTCGCGTGTGTCCTCTATCAGGGTGTCCATAGCAAGTCTTGTTCCTAGTGCGACGGATTTTGACGCCATTTACCGCCTTCTAGTGCCTGCTCGGCGCAGACGTGGCCATTCCAGGCTGCTCCATGTACAAAACCTTCCTCCGAGACACTAACTATGCTCAAATACAAGTTTAATGATTGCTTATATCGTGTTGATTGCATGGCCCTGATGGCGACGCGATTTTTGCAATCCCATTCCACGGGTTCCCGAGCCGCTCTTGGACGGGTGTTGCCCGCAGGCTATCGTGCGATAGCGGATAGATCTTTACTTGTTTCCAGAAAAATGGATTAGACGTCGGCTTTGTGGTGACAGCTGCTGCGCCGCAGGGGCGACTCATGCCGCCACCTACGAGTTTGAACAAATGAACACTCCTTCCATGCTGTGATGATTGACACCAGGAAACCAACCATATCAAAGATGTTATCGACCCACAAGCACGCAAAGAGAGATTCATACACTTGCGTAACCACACTGATGACACACACCACACCGCCCATTCCCTCCCCTTGCGAACCTCGGCCGTCGTGCCGATCCTACTGTGGGTTAGCACTACAGCACCCTGCCAAACATCCAGATTGTGGAATATCATCCGCATATGGAGCCGCCACACTGACGAGGCCTCAAAATTCATCTGTCAACAACATGCCGTTTGTTTCAGGGGCAAAGTATCTCTGTCTCCTGCCAACAGTTCCTGGATCATGTATGCACTGCACTTGTGCATTTGTTGAAAAGGAAAGCTTACACTTTGTACACGCTGATCAAGGAGAAGGTGCCTTGCAGCGAAGGTGGAACAGCTGCTGTGCAGATAAAGCATGTGCAGGTTTTCGCGTCGCATCATTGGAGAAGCTGTGCGCGCGATCGCGTCATGTGCATCGCTAGCGCGCCTCAATCCTCGCACCTATATCCTTTTCATTCATGAGGCTGTCTTGCTTGTGCGTGTGCCCCGCACATGCGCCCAACACACGTAAAAGAGAGACGTCCGCCGCCATCATGAGAAGGAGGAAGCAGTTGGGTGGTGCGCTGGTGCACGGGCCGGCTAGCGGCAGTGCTGGCCGAAAACCCACGGGTTCATTGACTGCGGGTGGGGCGCACGCAGGGCGCCCCTTGCAACACCTCCGTTGGAGGGGGCGTGTGGTATGCGCAGGTGGTGCACGCATGCGCTCACAGGCAGACGCCCAGGCAATTTAAATGGCGTCATGTGAGTGGCATACTGGGCGTGCCTGCGCTGTGATGTGGACAAGGCGTGTGGACGCGGCCTGACCCCGGCTTCGCCCTGCAGACGGCGTCGTGGCCGATGCGCGGACTTGTCTGGGCCATATGCCCGCGGGCCTAGGCAAGAGGTTGCAGCGCAACTGCCGCCAGCAGCCTCCCTCGCGGCCCCTGCGCTGGGTGCGTGCTGCCCAAAAACAACAGGGTAATTGTCCGGCCAGGCAGAGGGGCCGAGGTCGGACCAAATCCATAGTGTGACGATAGCCAAAGGCGCGGGTGAAGTGGGTTCACGTGCCGAGCCTCCATGCAGGAGCAACCTTGTACAGGAAATCTAAGGCCTGGCGATGCATGTATAAGTGTGGCGTCCCGCGGGCGACTCGCGGCGGCACCACCACGCGCGCCGCTCGGCGGGGCGCTGCGCCGGATCCCCAGCACCCGAGATTGCATGCGGGACGCGCGGTCCGGCACAAACCAGACCGCATCGTTCAGAAGTCGATGCATGTGTTGAGTATGAAACGGCGCACAACCTCGCCGGTGCGGCTGCTGTGCTCTTGTGCAGTTCTCAAGCGTGTGGGGCCGCTGCTGTCCAGCAGCCCCCGCCCTCGCGGCCCGTACTGCACGCGCGTGGGCCCGCGCATCACGCCGCGCCGGGCTGCGCGTCGTCCGCGCCGGTGCGGCAGCCGAGGGCGGCGAGCAGCCGGCCGAAGGCGCCCGCGGCTTTCCTGGGTGCCTTGCGGTCGCCGGCGGCGGCGGCTTGGCTGCTGGAGGGGGTCTTGTTGCTGAGGGAGGCGCAGTGCACCGCGGCGTCAAAGGCGTTGAGGCCCTGCAGCTGCAGCTTGTCGCCTGGCGGGGCGACGCACGAGTTTGTGTGTGTGTTTGTGGGCATGTGTGTGTGCACACGCGCGGCAGGGGTGTGTGTGTGTGTGTGTGTGTCCCTAGCAACCTGGCGGCATCTAGCTGCCATGAAAACTCCTTGGGCACCTGCAGAGATGTAGCACGCCTCCACGTTCACAAATGCAACCGCACGCGCGCACACACACACACACACACACACACACACACACACACACACACACACACACACACACACACACACACACACATACACATGCATGCAAACGTGCCGCACGAGCAAACGCAGCTCATCAACAGGGCGCCCACCTGTGCCGGGCGCCCTGCAATGAAAGATGACGTCGAACTCCAGGCCCTCAGGGAGCTGCAGAAGGCTGCGGATCTGGCGCTCAAACGCGGCCGCGCCCTCCGGGCCAGGCTGCACCTGTACCTTGTACGTCTTGCCGCCAAAAGACACGCGCATGTAACTGTATCGGGGCCGGTCACGGTGAGGTTGCGGTGGATGATGACTCGGTGTTGTGATGCATAGTTGTTTTCTGTCAGGTGCATGAGCCTTCACCTGCTTGTAAGCAAGCGGTCACTGCTTGACAAGACATATCAATGCAGCAGATCCCTGCCTAATGCCGAGAAAGCTGGGCCAAGATACCCCTCCGCTGCTGTACCCCCTCCGCTGCTGTGCCCCCCCACTGCTGTGCTGCCCGCCCCGCCCTGCCCGCAGCCCCTGGCCCGCAGCCACCAGCCGCACTCACGGTGTCACGACCTTGGCGCCCGTCGCCTGAGTCATGACGGGCTTCCAATCCCGCAGCTCGGTGTGGCAGAAGCGGCAGACCCGCTCCTCACTGCGGGCACCAGAATCAAGAGCGCGGGTGGGGGCAGCAGTTGGCCAGTGGAGGGTGCGCCTCAGACTGACTGCTGTGGTGTAGGACGCAACCGAAGGGTCGAGAGCTAGCTGGAGGCCGCCTGACCCGCGCAAGGGCAACCAGCTGGCGCGATCGCAGCTGCGGTTGGCGCGTCCGCCGTCCTGCCCAGCAGCCCCACTGCTCTGCGAGCGCCGCGGCCCCGCGCGGCGCTAGCTGTGCTCACTCTCTCCCAGCTGAGTGCAGCTGCCAGCGCGCCAGGCACATTGCGTGCACGCTGCGGGGGCAGGCGCAGGGGCGCTCAAGGGTGCCGTGCGCGCCGGCTGGGTCCAGGCAGATCCAGCACACATCCTCCTGATCGGCCTGCGCGATTATGTGGTTGAGTGCGGGTGTTGATGACGTGTGCAGCATAGTCAGTGGATCTATCCCTGAGGTGCTGGTTTTTAAGGGTGGGCAGGACGCCGCGCGCAGCGCTTGCATGACGCAGGTGGGGTTTCTGTGCCGCCGTGCGCCAGGTGCGGCGGGATGCGCCATATCAGCGGCAGCGAGCTATCAAGAAGCCGCAGGACGCCCTGCAACATTCCCTGCAATACCTACAGTGGCAGATAAATACAGCTGCTGCTGAGTGCGAAGCCCACGGCTGCCGATTGGCAGGCATGCGGCTGCCGCTGATAGTGGCGGGGCGGTCCCCTTTCTGTGCCCCCGTGTGGCGGAGGCGTCGGCGTGCCGCGGAACCGCGGTGGCCCTGGGTGACATCGTATCGCAACCATCAGGCAAGCCGCCTCACCGAGCGAGGGATTGGCTCAGACCGCGAGCTCCTGAGGGGTGCCCCCTTGCCACCACTCGACGAGCAATCTGAGAAGCTCTCGTCCTCTGGGTCGTCAACCAGGGCGGGGTCCACGCAGCTAAAGGCAGAGGAGAGCACCATGCTGGGCTCCCGTGCGCGACTGGCTGAGCACGAGACGCCCGAGCACCGATAATCGAGCAGGGCCTGAGGCGCGCGTGAAGAACGGCGACACAAGATGCTGCACAGCGCTATCCAGCTCGTGCACGGCAAGCTCCCCCACTTGTGGCCGTTGAGGGGCCGTGTCACCCGCTTCCTTTTGGGTGGTGTCTCCTCCAAATCCTTCCGTGAGGGCGGGCGCTTCGAGAAATTGCAGACGCTATGAGGCCCTTGAAACAGTGCGTTGCGCGCCCCGTGGTGCGATCTGTTACTGCTACGTTGGCTGCGATCGTGTGTGCATGGCCCTCGTGAGTGTTGCTTGTATGCGCCGACAGCGTAATAACATGCACTTTTGGCAGAAAAAAATCTCTCAGAGTGCTCCGTTAGCTTGCTCCCACAGGGTGACAACATGGCAGTCCTGCTGAAGGGGGGTGTGAAATGTGCTCGACCCGACAGCGCGAGCGGCGCGTGCTGCTACTCTGCCTGTGATACGGCTGAGTAGGGCAGCACAATGCCGGAGCATCAAACTCTCAAGCAAATGACATGTGGAAGCAGCAGGCATGGCCCTTTACAAGCAGAGTGGCATCGTGCACACTGGCCTTGCTGCTGATGCATTTGGGAGGACAGTCGCGTTGCCTCAACAATAAGGAACCAATAGCCCATTCTTCCAGCCGTGTGTTGGCTCTCAATCTTCCAGTGGCTATGCTTTGATGTTTTGAGCCCCGCTGCTGCAATGCGTTGTGCACTGCGCGCTGGTTTCAGTTCCGAAATGGTAAGAGCAAGCCCACCGTGGGCGCTCAGGGGGCGCTGCTCACAGCTGTTATTTTTACCACATTGACTGCACTCAGTCATGGCTACGCAGTTGCTTTGGTTGCGCAATTACAGTGCAGGGTGCACGAGCTGCCACCCACGGGGCGGGCGGTGCTCGGCAAGCTGCTTGTCGCCGCTGCAAGTGCCAGATGGTGATACGGGCAGGTGGTGTAATGCATGATTATGATGGTATGAGTGCAACAAGCGACTTGATGGGCTTAAGGCATGTACAATATGGACACACAACGCTTGTCTTCCTCAAAAGCGCCCAGGTGATCCGCGAGCACAAGCCTGAAGGCTGCGGTGTTTCCGCGGTCTCCCTCGACCGGCCGCTGCCGCAGCTGCAGCATCACCTCCGGCCGTCCGCAGCTGCCGCCACCGCAGCGGCCGCCGACAGCCGCGTCTTTCTTGAGCGCTGCATGGCGTCATGCAGGTTTCGGGGCCACAGCCGCGGCAGCAGCGGCTCGCTCCACCAGTTGTAAACGCTGGGCATGGAGTCGTGCGACTTCCACAGGAAGTTGATCGTGGGCCCGAACAGCCCTGCAGCGCCCGCACGTGGTGGGCCCTGTTGGTTCTGTGGGATTGCCCACATTTTTGTTGTGCCACCCAGGGCTTTGCCACAGTTGTGAAGCCCTTGCAAGCATGTGCCTCAATGCGGCCCCCTGAAACACTGCCCACTGACACGGTTGCTGCTGTGCCAGCTGATGCCGCCAGGCTCTACATCAAACAACCATAATTCAGGCAATGACTCCACAGCTTGTGTGGAACAGCGACACGCACGCTGAATGACACGCCCCACCTGGGCTGCGCTTGGTGCCATCTGGGGGTGGGTAGTAAAACCCGAGCTGTGCAGTTGAACCCCAAAAGGTGGTCAGCGCGGCCGCGTGGGCTCCATAGCTTCCGGCGCCGCTGCTCTCCCAAGGTCGCCCGCCGCGGCCGTGATTAAGCGCCGTGATAAGGTTGGCTGCGCACACGAGGCGTTTTGGAAAAAAAGAAAATTGTCAGCAGCATCGCTGTGGGAAGTGCCTGCTCAGCTCGGAGCGTCTCGTCATCAACTCTTGGGTGCAAGCTCTAGAACATGCACCAACCTTGTTGCCCACGCACGCTGGAAGCCGTGCTCACCATAGGGCGAGTTCCTGTGGTGGTCTACATTGAGATCTGCGCCCCAACCCTCGGAGATCACTGTGTGCATCTCGGTCCAAGACAGCGTGACGTCGTGGACCAGGGGCGACCCCACCCTGAACCGCGTCAGCAGGTTATCGCTGCCCCGCTCCATCCACACGCCGCGGTGGCCGTTCTGGCGGCCGCACGCGCACGCAGGCGTGTATCGCGGCTTGGTGTAGGATATTTCGAGGTCTGTGACTGTGCAGTGCTGCGCACCCCAGAAGTAGATGCCTGCGTGGGGCGAGAAGGTGCGCATAGGGGTTGTTTGGCCACCAGGCAACGGGTCAAACTGAGTAAAGACATCTGGAGAGGGCCGGTTGTAACGCCAGCGGCCACAATCAGGGATTCCAGGGTCAGCATGAACCACAGACCCTTGTCACCTGTCGACATGACACGCTTTGTTCCTAGTGTCCCAAAAGCACACTTGCAGAGCTCTGGCGGCCTGATTGCCACCGTCTACTAAAGCTTGCTGATACATCACACACCACGGGGGCCCTCACCTGCATCTGCGTCGACGATGCGCACGTTGCGTACCCAGCTGTTTGCCAGCTGGTTGAAGTGCAGCGCGTTGTAGCCGTCCTCCTGCAAGACACAGATTTACAGGGAGTTGGCAAATGCGGGGACGGCTGCCGGCAAGGTTGATGCTGCGCAATCACAGAGCCGCTGCAGCATGAAAACAGCATGGAACACGAGCAGCGGCAGCAAGGCCCACCGGCAAAACGCTGGCGCGTCAAGCGCTTTGCTCGCTTAAACATGGCAAACAGTGCCTGGTGAACCTGAATTGGGCCTTGCATGCTGCTGGGTGCGGCCGCGCGCATCCCTCCTGACCCAGGCGTCGAATAGTATCGGTCCAGCCACCAAGCGACCTCACACCACAAACGGCGACGCCCGCATCCGCGCCCCCACCTTCAGATGCCCCTTGTAGGTGTCCCACTTGAACTGGATCGTTAGGTGCTCGATCCCGTTGCCGCTGATCTGCGGCTGGAACGCGTGAAACCTGGGCGCCCACCTCAGGCTGGCGTTGGCTGTCAGGGGCCGCTCGATGTCAACGTAGTCAGGGCCGACCGCGGTGACGCGGGTGAGCAGGCGGTACGCCTTGCCCATGGCGTTGGACGTCATCTGGCCGGGGCCAGGGCACATGAAGCCTGCGCGGGTGGGAGTGAGGGGTGTGGGGGGCCAGCATTAGAAGGATTGGGGATCCCTCAGTTGCACTGGGAGCTGGTTTTTTGTGAGGGCTTTTGGTGGAGGGTTGGGGATCTGCAGCGCACACGCCGCTGGTCACCACTGCTCCTCTGAGCATGCACATGTTGCCCGCCTCTTCTCCTTGACCAAACGACCCCACACGCCCCCAGCCACGAACCCACCGTCGTTCATGTCTGTCAGCAGCCCCTTCAGGTCTCCATCCATCACGAACCGCACCCACTGCCCGACCTTGGGCGCCATCGCCGCCGCCTTGTCCACGTACAGCCGCGTGTCCCCGCGCTTCGCCGGCCGCATGACGTTTGCCAGAGCGTTCCACGGCCCCATCGGATCCCAACCAAAGAAGTTGATGAACCCGGCGGAGTGGGAGTACTGGGAGACGCCCTGGTTGCCCCCCTCCCCCCAGTCGTTGCCGTAAGCGTCCGTCAGGGACACGGGGATGTAGATCGTCGTCTTGTTGACGCCGGCGCCGCGGATGACCAGGCCCTGGCGCCGGATGTCCAGCTTTTTCTTGAGCACGTAAGTGCCCTCAGGGATGAACAGGACGCCCTTTTCCACAACGGGCGGTCGCGTGCGCCGCGGCGTCCGCGGCGGCGGCGCAGGGGCGCCCGCGCTTGGGGCCTGCTCGGTGGCCCGAGCGGCCGCGTGGGTGGCGGCGGAGGCAAAGGAGGAGAAGAGCTTGAAGGCCGCCGACGCGGGGTCGGGGATGCGGAACTCCGACAGGCGCCGCGCACGAGCGTCGGCGCGGGAGGTGGTGTCCATGTCGGCGCCGCCTCTGCCGTCCGATCCGACCAGCGCGGGCCGCACGGTGCCGCCGAGGTTGGGCGCCACCAACGCGCCGCCGCTCCGCGTTGCTTCAAACATTGGAGGGTCGAGCGCCGGCGGCAGCAGCTCGCTGCTTGGCGCAAGCTTCGCGCCGGCTGCATGCCGGCCCTCGCGCAGCCGCCGGCGTCTCGACCTCTCTGCCAACAGACTCGTCACGCTGCCACTGCCGTCGATGCCACCATCTGCTGCCTTCAACACTGGTTCCACCTGAGCGTCCGGGTCCTCTCCTGCCTCCTCCTCTTGGCTGAACCCGCCCGCTGCGCCTTGATCCGCGCCCATGCGCGCCAGCGGCGTATCGACAAGCATGCCTGGGAGCCCCGGCAGCCGCTGCCCGTGCGCTGTCGCCGCCGCTGCCTCTGCAGGGTCGAGCAGCAGCGTGTACGTCGGGTCGAGCGACCAGGCAACATGCCGCGCCGCTGCGCGTGACCCCTGGATCCGAAGCAAGCTGGCCGCCAGCGCAGCCGTCGCATCACGAACCTCCACGCCGCCGCTGCCGACGCCGACGTCGCCGCCACTGCTGCCCCTGCCCCTGCCGCTGCCGCTGCCCCTGCCCCTGCCGGCGGCGCGTTCCTTTGCATCGTGGTAAGCCTCCTCTTGTGCAACACCCTGGTCTTGGGAAGGGTCAGCCTCATCATTCGCAGCAAGCCGCCCAACATCCAAGTACTCAACAGCAGGCGCCCACGACAGGCCCGCATTCTCAGGCTCCTGCGGGCCGTCCCACGGCCTCGGCCCGGCCTCAGCCACCGCCGCTGGCGCTGCCGCCTCCTCCTTTGCTTTTGAGGCCT